AGGAGGTAATGAATTTAAGTCGCTTAACCTAACTAAATTTCCTCATCTAGAAAAATTAATAATACCAGATAATCAAAATCTAACCAATATAGAGGGTTTGAGTTTTAAATCAATTAAAAATCTTAACCTAACTAATTCTCCTTATGTTTCTTTTGCTGAAAGTAGTGAAGATCTTAAAGAAGAAAATGAGAACTTATGAAAAGTTTTAAGAAACATTAACCAAGTCGGAGAACAAAGGAAACTAATTTTAACTGAAAATATTCAAACTCCTAAGCAAGCTGAAGAAGCAATCAGAAGATTGCTCAAAGAAATTAGTCAAGAATGGCGAGAATATTTCGAAAGTGAAGATCTCGATATTGCTGAACAAAAACCTTTATTAGGTTCAAGTTTTAAATATGAAGACAAAAAAAGAAAAGGCAAAGAAATCTTGGGTTGAATAAATGAAGCCCGAGTAGATGGTGATTATCATAATCTAGTCAGAAAGTGAAATGGAGAAGGAGAATACAATACTGCTTATGATTTCGACAGTTCTCTTTTTGATTTAATGGAGTACTTGAAAATCAAAGACAAAAAAGAAGCATTAGAACAGTTGGAAGGAGAAGAAGAGTTAGAAGAAACTGAAGTTACTAAGCAGACTCTATTTGCAGAAATATTAAGTACTTATTTACCTGAAAATAGAATTCAACAAAAATTAGGTGATGTTCAGCAAGGTTGAGAAGGAAAGGTGGTAGAGGAAATCTTAAAAAAAGAAGATAAAAAAAAGTTAAAAAGGTATGCCGAATTAGAAGTTGACAATTTACCTTCTGACTGAAAACTTGAACTTTCTCGCTTAGCAGAATTAGAATCTAGACAAGTTGATTATGATCAAAAAACTGAAAATTTAAACAATTGGACTAATACTTTTACCGGACAGACTTTTAATGAAGTCCATGAGCGGATTAAGGAATTAGAAAAAAGACCAGATATCTCTCAAACTACTTGAGATGATTACCGAGAAAGAAAATCACTCTCTGATTATAATGAAATTGATAAAGTATTGAATAACTGAACTGATACCTTTCGCAATCAAACTCCTGAAGAGGCTGAAAAAAATAGAGTTATTTTGTTAGAAAAGCATAAAGCATTAGATAATGAGTTGCAAGAATGACATCACAATTTTCCTCAAAAGATCGCTCATGAAGTTAGAAAATCAACTGATGATACCCAAGAACAATTGGTTAGTACCGAAACCGAATTAAAAGATAAAAGAGAAGAAGTTGATAAATTAACTGGTGAGTTAGAAAAGACCAACAAATTGTTGAATGGTTGGACTAATACTTTTTTAGAAAAAGAACCACAAGGACTTAAAATTGAGTTAGAAGAATTAAAAGAAAAGGAAATCAAATTAGAAGAGTGGAATAAAAATTGAAGGGGTCGAGAACCACAAGAGCTTAAAGAGGAATGGAAACTGTTAAAAATTAGACCGAATATTCCTATTACTGAAAAACAATGATGGGATGATTACACTCACCGCAAAAGTGTAGACAAAAGCGAAAAAGAAAGCAAAAAATTACTCGAAGAACAAAAAAGAGTTAACCAGTATAAAGAGGAAAATGAAGAATTGTGACGAACTATTAGAAAATCTCTCGAGAGCAAAGTAGAACAGAGGTATATTTTGACCAAACCAGTAATTACACCTGAAGATGCTCAGAAAGCAATTGTTAGTTTGTTAGAAAATACTGAACAAGAATGAGAGACTTATTTAAATGGAGTCGATAAAAACATGGTAGAGAAAAAGATGGAGTTTTGAAATGAAAATAGAAGAGAGCAAGCTCGGCAAATTTTAGAATGAATTAAAGATGCTAAAAAGACTAAAGATTATCAAACTCTTTACCGAAATTGATGCCGTGGCGATAAATATAATCTCGACTATGAATTTGATGGTAGTCTTTACTTATTGAAGAAGAACTTAGAGAAGCTAACCAACTCGCCTTTTGCCTAAATTTTTAACCAATCCTAACCAAGAAGTCCCTTTGTTCTATAACTAGGGGATGAATTGGTAAAAAATATACTAATGAAAAAACCAACCAAAGACCATAATCTTTTAGAACTAACCTATCAGTATCGGTTAGAATCCAATCAAAAAGTAAAGAACATTCTCACTAAAACTGCTGATGAACTATGTTTACTTTACAACTATTTTTTAAAACAATATTGCCAAGCAGATAAAAGAATAAGCAAACTTAAACCTAAGGAACAGAAGAAGGAATGAAACAAATTACTAGATAAGCAACAAAAAGAACTAGTGGAGATTAAGAAACAAAAACCTTATCTTTACCAAATTCAATCCCAAGTTCTCCATGATATCCCTTATCGTTTAGTGCCTTTGGTCTGAAATGGTTTTTTGACTAAAAGAAAAGAGTTAAAGAAACTGAATAAAAGATGGAGATATCCAAGAGAGAAAAAGAGTAATTCATTTAGTCATATTGTTTATCCCCAAGAGAAAGTTAGTGGGGTGTGAGTTTATAAAGTTGAGAATGAAAAACTACTTATCAAGCAAGGAGGAATGGTTAAAAAGTCAGAAAGGCAATTATCCCTTAAATTCAAATATCACCGACCTATTAAAGGCAAAATCAAAACCTTAACTATTGCTTGAAAGAATAATAAATATAATGCTAACTTTACTTGCCAACTGCCAAAACCTAAGCAATTGACTATCCAAGAAATTCAAAGACAACTAGGAATAGACATTGGAGTTATTAATCTTTTCGCTACCTCGGAGGGATTTATATATAAAAACCCTCATTTCTTTACCAAAATAGAAGAGAAATTGATAAAGTTATATCGGTCATTAAGTAGAAAACAACACAAAAGAAACGAGGAAGATTTGACTGAAAAGAGTAAAAACTTTGAGAAAGCAAGGTTAAAATTAATGAAAGCATTTAGGAAAGTGGTTTGTAGGATTAATGACCTCAACCATAAATTAAGTAAGAAAATAGTTGATAAGTTTGATTTGATTGCTTACGAAGATTGGAAATTAAGCAAAGCATTTGAAAAGAAAGATAAACAAAGGAAGTTTAGCAAATATACTGTAAAAGGATTATCAGAGTTAAGAATTGCTGACTTCTTTGCTAAACTGGATTATAAGGCAAAGTTGAAAGGTAAGATTACTTACCCAGTTAGACCTGAATACACTAGCAAAACATGTTTCAATTGTAAAGAGATTAATCCTAATTTAGAAAAACAAAGATGGTTCATTTGTGCTAATCCACTTTGTAATTATGAAGCAGATAGAGATATTAATGCTAGCAAAAACATTCTCTATAAAACACAAACGGAGTTAGGAACATTGTCCTCCGAGAGGATATAACTTCGTAAAATGGGCTCATGATTGGTCTTTACCAATTAAACC